GAATATCATCATGAAGAATTCTCCTCACAGTACAATCGGAAAGTCCAAGGACAGATGCATCTTTGCTAGCAGAACGCCATGGTAATCGCAAGCTCACATGTTTTCAGGGGATCTAATGGGTCTAGGGACTCGTTCTTCGTCCTGTCATACTTGCTGTTTATCAGATCGTAGTAATTGATTTCCGGTCCTGGTCAGTAGCCAATGGGACGATGGTTTGCGATCACAGAATATTCCGACGCACGATGGCGACTGAACTGTGTCGGGACAAAACTGTATAGCGCCGTCTCCCTAACCATGGCGTGCATTAAAAAAAAGGAAGTTATGCTGCCGCACCCTGTACAGTATTTTAAATGCATTTCACTAAGTCTTGAAAATCGATTCAGTGGTCCAGGATTCCGAGTTTTAGACCTAAGAGCACTTCACTATTAAGGTTGAGTTAAGGTAAAATTTCCAAAAATACTTGCCTATCTATAATCTGAAGGAAACCTGGCTGTGATATACTATTATAATTTAATATTTTGAGGTTTTTGTGAGAAAATTTAAAAAAAAACTGCGCAGCTATTTAGAAATATCGTGTCCTATGTAAAGCGAGAAAGTTTGTATTTCAGGAATCGGTGCATCTCTAGGAAACGCTGCTATACCTAGGGAAATGTATTGATTAAACAATAACTATATCAACCAAATACTCAAGTCTATAAGCTTAAGTAATATAAAAGCTCATTTGCAAATCCTGTACACTAAAATAGCATCACGTGGATATTATAATGTTGATATAGATGTGTTGGTTTGACCTACTTGACGCTATCTTTTGTATTTGTAATGACGACACCTAAAAGATAATTAATCGGAAGTAATATAAAAACAGGCTGTTGACAGGAAATGCAGAGTTTCCCGATTATATATTCCGTATTGTATGCACACTCGTCAAATCTATAAAATCGAAAACCACCGTTATGAGTAGAAGGAAGTTCATTTACCTTCATTCCGGATGAGCTGCCAGCTATCTGCATCGATTTTGTTTTCATAGCCAACTCAGTTGCACTACTAACACAGTACCGAATACAGAGTGATGCTGTTGTTTTATTTGCCAGTTTGAAGAAATTGCTCATGACTTTACAGAAAAATAATTTGCGAATTAACATTACTTCAGAATATGAGAGGATGTAATCTATGTATCCACATGCAATTTTTTTGTTCATTGGGGCTCCTATACAAGGTGACCTGAAAGTTGGAACTTTCCTTTTCAGGTTCAACTACGTTTGTAATAACAAAGTCAATTTGCGGCAAAACAACACCAAAAACGGAAAAAATAAATCGAAGAAAACTAGTGCTACTACTAGTAGTAGAACACCTACATATTCATTCAAGTAACTTACCAGGCTGTCTGTTATGAAGTAACCCGCAAAAAACATCTTTTGGTAATTCCAAACCATTCAACGGCTCTGTTTCAGTGCAGTTACTCATACAATGCTGCGAAACTGTTTAACAGCTTGGCAGTAGATCTAAAAAAATCTGAGCCTGCACAATTTAAAAAGAAATAGAAAGCTGATCTCCTGCACGAACAAAGCGCTAAGATATAGCCAAAGCTCGCTACGTTTTGAAGGCTACTAGCTCAGAGTGTTTCTTTTTAAGTCGTCTTGTTCTTTTTTTGCACGAGTTGTGCTTTTATAAAAATAGTATTATCGATGCTCTCGTATGTTCCGTTTTGTATTGTGTATTATTTTTTTATATATTTTCTATGAGTGTTATTTTTTATGGATTTAGTTGAATGGCAGCCTAGGTTAAACTACGACTTTCATGATGAATAAAGACCATTTATTGTTATTATATAAACAAAAATATGCAATTCTGATGGAAAGAAACATCGAGGACGACGGCGATGTCCTGAGTACACTCAATCAACTACGTTATTGCTCTGAAAATGTGCGAATTTCGGTTTTTCAAATGCGATCTATAAACTAGATTAACCTAGACACTAAGCTACCCGTGATTTGGATAGTGACTCACATAGTCTTAATATAACATCATACGTTTTGACTTAGGAAGGGGAGGGTGGCAGGGTCGAACTGGCTCACTTATTGATTTTTTAAACCTAATATCTCATAAAAGTTTTGGTATATGTATATGTTACTAAAAAACATGCTTATTATTGCCTGACCTATACACTCTGTAAAGAAAAGTCCCAACTATAAGGACACCCTGTATAGTTGTGACGATCCTCAACAAAGAGACAACAATTTGTCGTATTGTTAAAGAGGGCAATATCTACTAATGACTAAAAACATCGATAATGATGATGACGACCACGGATGTAACAAGTGATTAGATTTTCGTAAAACACTCTCACTAAAATAGGAAGAGGAGAGTAATATCTATATTAGCTTGTGCTGTATTGCAATATGTTCAAAAACTTTGAGATTTTTTTCTATACCGAAGCAGCCGCGCAGGCAGAAGCCTGAATGCCGTGACACCGCGGCTGCTACGATGATCCCAAAGAAATTTTGTTGATCCCATTTTTGTACTGCTTAAAACTGGCAAAAGCTTCCTCTTGTAGATTGTTCCACAATCCCGACACCGTCGGGACAAAGGAGCGGTCGTATCGGCCAGTTCTGGATGTACGAAGTTCGACACGGTTAGGATGGGAGGCCAAAGTCAGGTGGGTTTGTCCGGCAAGCACATCGTGCGATATAAGTTCGTGCCAGATTAGGTCCTCGGTGATCTGGACACCGACCAGCCAAAATGAATGCCTCTTTGGCAGAACTCGGCCATCGGTACCGGATGAGCACAAGGCGCTTTTTGTTCGGCAGGGTACAGTACTGTGTATAGGAAGCATTAAACTGTACAAGATTGATGCATCCCCAAGCAGTGATAACCTCCAGGTTTCTCGTCAGAGAGGAAGTCGTCGCTAGTCTTCTTTTTTCCAGCTCTGCGGCAGAGATGGGCTTGTCACTCTGAATTCCTGCTTGTAGAGTGCTGTCATCAGCGAAGCTGTGGATTAGGTTGATCATGCATGAAAGGAGGTCGTTGATATGTAATAGGAACAGTGTTGGAGCCAAGACCGATCCCTGGGGAACACCCGCGTTAACGTTGTTGGATGAAGATGAGAACCCGTCAATTATGACCGATATCTTGCGGTCAGAGATAGAGTCAGCCACCCATCTGCAAAGCTTTTCTGGGAGGCTATAGAATGGTAGTTTGCTTCAGAGGGTAGCGTGCCAGGTCTGATCTAACGTTTTCGTGATGTCAAGAGCAACGACATGAACCTCACCATAAGACTGGATGAGTTTACTCCACAATTATGTGACGTAAGCTAGGAGGTCCCCTGTGGATCGCTGGTGTACGGAAACCATACTGCCTGACGCTAATCAAGCTGTGACGTTCGAGATAGAGAGGTGCATAAATCGCGAGCCTCTGGACTATCACCTTACTTATTAACAGAAAGCAGAGCTGAAGGCCTGTAGTTATAAGGGCGGTCTTAGAGCCCTTTTTTGGGACGGGTTGAACATGAGCAAATTTCCAGTCTTCTGGGAAGGTGCCAAATTCATAAGATATCTGGAAGAGAAGCGAAAGAACTGGAGCAAGCTCCGCTGCACACCTCTTCAATACAATGGCACTTTCACTGTATGGGGATGTATTCCTTCATTCCGACCTGGATAATTTCGGTTATCGAAGAACAGGCAGCCTTCGCATCCGCGTCGGCGAAACACGTCTCTCCAAGGAAAGGTAGAGAAGAAGTCTCTGAGCCCCTCCCAGTCGGCATGTCCGTAATGACAAATTTTGCTGGTTCTGACCGAAATCTAACCTCCACAACACCGTGGTCTGAGTTACCCAGAGGGGGACAGGACAGCAGTGCTGTAAGGTACAGGATGCGTGGTCAGAAAGAGATCCAGCATGCTACTGGCATGTGACGAGACGCGGGGGAAAAAGCAGGGCTCGTCACCAGCTAGGTCAGCCCTTGAGTAAGAGCGAACGCTTCAACTGCACGACCTGCTGCATCGGTCTTGTTTGAGCCCAACCAAAGCTTATTATGGGCATTGAAATCACCGAGGAGAACTACCTCTGTAACGGGGTGATTGATGTTCAGGGAGGAGATTTTTTTATCCGCCAATAAAAGCATGGCGGGACGATTGGATTTCAAGTAGAGATGGACAGCATCAATGTTGCTGTTGATCCCGCAGATTTTCGTGAAACAAATTTTATATTCAATGTTGTCCCCTCGAGTCCACCCTCCACCCGGACATTCCGAGAGTGGAGTGAGTTTACGTCCGGAATTCTAAGTACTCGAGGAATCCATCATCATTAATTTCTTTGTTTTGGAAGTTAACCGACTGCATAGATGTGGAAACACGCAGACATTTATAAGACACTCTGGGAAAAGCTAGCGGGTGGTACCGCCTTGGGCGACTGGTCCTTGTCTACCACCTTCTTTTTGCGTGTTAATGATATTAAATAGACCTAAAGTGACCCGTTGGCGGACTTGTACCACCACCCGACAATTGGTACTGAGGTATTTCTTGACGCCTTTTGTTGTTTAATACGATTCATTTATATGTATGTTTTCTGTTCTGACAAACAATAAGAAAATTAAAGTAACAACATGGACCTAAAAATCACAATGTTTCTTATATCTTTCCAGTTAGTCAATAATTTTCAGGAAGTAATTGAACTCTATCAGTGTTAAGTGAGACGCCTACTTTTTGGTGTTTCAATGACTGGTATTAGAACGTCTATAACATAATATCTCAGACATAACTGATTGAATAGGCCTATTTGACTGACAAAAATCCATTTAATTCATTTATTACACATGTTCTCAGTTGACTTTTTTCTGAAAGGGCTCACTTATGCCGAAAATATTTTTTTACGAACTGTTGATATCGTTGCGTGGGAAGTGCAGTGTAAACATACTGAACGCCCTTATTTTACTTTGCAGGTACCTCCAAAATATGCAATCGACGACCCGATAGTGGCAGCGTTCAAACCAAAGTTACACCATACACCTTCCCTTCGCGCCATCCGTACTTACAACGAACTCGCTGTCGATGGAGACTTCCAAGATGGCATCGATACTTCCATCTTTCACACTATACCTCGAAAGTAAGTACATGCTTGCATAATACTCCAGAACTTAATTCAATTTCTTTGAAATATCCGTTCCCAATTTTATCTTGAATAATGGCGGGTGCGCTGGACTGACACAATCTTTGTAAGATAAACAAAATGGGGAATCATCAGAAACCCCACATCTCGCCACTTCGATACGTCCCGCAGGGGTATTACGTATCTTCAAAAGTGATAGTTTTTTGTTTCATTATGTAGGTTTTTCTACAGGGTGACTTTGAAGTTGAGTCATTAATTTTCAGATAATGATTGTAAAAGGAAGATAAACCAAAATATGTGTGTAAAAATAAAAAAAAAATGAAAAAAACATGTTACCTTGTTTTATAAAGTATTCTCCCGACAAGTATTTCAGTGCGGACCTGTATTTGATCGTGCGGTTTTGGAGCACCGGCATGCCCTCCCCTGTGAGATCTTAAGTCACCTGATTCACGAGCCCTTTGTACTACATTAACAAAGGCACGAGGGGTTGGTTGCACTCGATTGGGAAACCGATCCGCATAAATCCGTGATGCCGCGGCAGCATTTTGTAAAGACTCCTCCCCCGTAAATAAGAATCATGTCCACAAGTTCAGCATTTTCGTAAACATGTGCCATTTTTTATTTCGTTTGAGCCACGCAACAAACACTACTATTCACTCACGCGTTACCGACTGACACATTGACTGAATACAACTGAATAAAATTGTAGTTAAAACATCGTGATAAGCGTTTCAAATTCTTTCGCTTTTTTGTTTCCGATGCGATGAACCGATAAGGCGGATTATATCCGTTGTTGCCAAACACGAGCACATAATATTATTATTGAGACAGACTTCTAAAGGGCTATAACTTTGTTACTTTAATTTTACCAGAAAAATGTTAAAGGAAAAAAACATTTCTTTTGATCAGATCTTCTCACTGTTAAAATAAATGACTCATGTCGCTTAGATTGGACGAGCAGTACTGAGTCAATCTACCTGACCTCATTTTTCGATATGTGCTTCAATAGAGAAGGCGCCAAAGTTAGACCATTAAAAATGATTTAAAGCAGATTACCTTATTACATTTTAGGTGACATATTAAAAAAGTATTTAGTCAAAATCATGTTCTTTTTCAGGAAGTGTGACAATGGTAGTGTCATATCCAAAGATTCCCTGGCTAGTGACAGTCATATGTATGATTACGCAACCGTGGGAACACTTTCAGTCACGAATTCAGCACCGTCCGAACTCAACTCAGAAATGGGTTCCACCGTGAAGTTGGTACACTCAAAAATGGGCCTGGTAAGACATTTTTTATAAGAAATACCTAAATGAACATTTTTTTGTCTGATATTTTATCAGCCCCCCTGAACGGAACAAAATACGGATCATATTTTGGGCAGATTTGCCGCCAACCTTTACGAGAATCATTATTTTGTCGTTACACGGACGTAGCTATTGTCTTGTATGGGGTGAGTCTAAAATATAGTAACGAATTCGAATGAGTTCGGAGATAAGCATATGTTTACATTGTATTATTTGTCGCTGAATTTGCCTAGTTTCAGTGCATACTTTTGACTCATTTGTCTACTAATGCACACCAAAGTGACAGCGTTGTATCAACACAAATACATGAATTACGATTATCTGCTAGAGCTAACTTTCTGTGAAGGTGGGCCTGCCTCAAATTCTAAAAATTACCAAAATTGTATACAGTCATGCTAAATTCAAGGTCCAACGGGATACTCAGGAGGAGCAATGGCCCCTTCTGGTACCCGCCTGCGGGCGCCCATGCACAATAATAATATTTGCCGGTGGAAACATCCACCTTCATTAGGCTTGTGCTTGAAATTATCTGCACTTTGAAAAAATAACACTAAAAATACGAATTTGATGACAACAGTCAAATTAACTTATGACTAATGCACTTTGATCCTCCCTACAGACTACGAGAATCGGGAAACAAACAAATCTTTGACTGACTCCTTCTACCTATTCGAATTCATTGGTATCGATCTATAGGTTATTCATTCATTCCAAAATTTTCAACCCAGTTGCTAATTTACATGATCCAAGCTTAGAATATTTCATAATTGATGGGTACCGACCGTGGGTTTTAATTTCTTAATGATGAAGAACTATTTGCTAGGACTCGAAATGAGGGAGGTGATTTTTATCTTTTTTTAGCTTTAAGATTAGATATCGAAAAGAATAGGAAATTTAAGAAGACATGACATTATATACTAGCCTCAAGCATATTTAAATCTGTTTTAAAAGTTTTGCGCGGTCTGTCGGGACGATGCGATGCAACGGTGAAGTTGTCCAACAGCGTTGCCAGATGGTCGATACTTAAGGCAGGAAAGAAAGCATTGGCAGTTTTCATTTTTTTGTTCTACATGTTTGTAGCTAGCTCAACGGTACTAACTTAAAACAAACATAATCCTTTATGAATTGATGACAGCGTTGCGTGGAAAGTGCAGATTCAACCTACTTGATGCCACTTTATTATTAGGGCGGTTGCAAAGGACACAACATTTAGATAACGATCTTTTACGAACTGTTACACACCGCCATGTTATGACAGGTTGTCAGAACAGGTTTTCACTGTTTTGAATTTAAGTCGACTTAAGATTGTCTTCCAAAGCCTCAGTGATGAAGACAAAGTGATTACTGATTAGAATCAGCGACCACTAACATCTGTATAACACGCGTGTAGATTCGACCGCCAGATTTTTTAAATTTTGTCCTTGACGTGACCTTCAAATGTTCTCATAGTGACTAATTGACTTTTGATTCAGACTTAGTAACCAGAAATTGTCCTCGATATGACATTGAAATGAGATTTAGATGCCCTGATAAAGATCAACTAATCTAATTTAGATAAATAAATATTTATTGTCGGAGGAACAAAATCATTCTTAATGACAAAGCTAACTTGTTACTAAACTATAACATAATTACATATCTGGATCTCAAGTAGGTGAATTGTAGAGCTGATACAAGGTATATTATAGTTTACATATAAAAAAGTTTTCAAGGTTATATCGGAATATCTTTAAATTGTTAATTCCTTTGATAGCATCAGGGAGACACATGTAAATTCTTAGACCATTATAAATTATTGAGTCTTTCACAAGTGTTGTTTTTATGTAGAACTAGTTTAAGATCTTGTTTTCGCCTAATGTTGTAACTTATATTTAATGTTTCAAAATCGGATTTATTTTTAAAAATAAGAGTTAGGATTGTTGCTAAAATGAACGGTGATATGACAGTCATCATTTTAAAATTTACAAATAAAGGCCCCCAAAATCTTAAATGGAAAGGAGGGTCGAGTGATACCTTATTTTAAAGGTATTTCAATTCCCTTTATAATAATGTAAAATTAATGTACTTCAGTTCAGTAGTTTTGAAGATTTATTGATTTAAAGCTTAAATAAAACTAATACATCATCATTAGTGGAGATTATTACATTTGGCTGCAAATTAATTTAAAAATGAAGAATTAACTGACCCGTTAGGCAAGTAAATGTTGAAAATGGCCACCAGGACTCTCCATGCAATAATAAAGATTTCGCTCAAAACGTTGCCGCACATTTTGCAATATTTGAGGAGTAATTTGAAGGCACTCATTCACAATTCTTTATCGCAGGTCTTCTAATAATGTTGGCTGAGTAGCATAGATTTTGCTTTTTAAATGACCCCACATAAAGAAATCCAAAGGTGATAAATCTGGCCATCTTGGGGGCCATTCAATGGCACCTCTTCTACCAATCCATCGACCTGGAAACGTCTGATCTAAATATTGTCGAACACGTAATGCGTAATGTGGTGGGGCACCATCCTGTTGGAAAATCAACCTATTTGCAATGTACCGCCGATCATTCTGATTTTCAATTATGGCTGTTAATGCAGGATCTATGGCGTCTTCCAGTAATTCCAAATACATTCCACCGGTCAAATTTCCAGGTAATAAAAAAGGACCAACTAAATGATCGCCAAAAATAACAGCCCAAACATTTAATTTTTGTGGCTGCTGTTTATGAACCTCATGATAAATTCTGGGATTAGAATCGGACCAATATCGGCAGTTATGACCATTTAAGAAAAAGAAACATTCGTCGGAAAAGCAAGTGTTGAATAGAAAATATTCATCGTTTATAATTCGTCCACTCACACAAAATCGTCTTCATTAAGTTCTTGTACTAAGTGAATTTTATACGGGTGAAAACTATGGGCCTTTAGAATCCGTTGGACAGTACGCCGACTAACACCACACACAGTCTCCAATTTGCGGGTACTTAATGTAGGATCTACTTAAACTTGCCCTAAAACCCCCACTTCTAGTGCTTCGTTCCGTATGGGATTTTCAATTATGCGTTTTTTATTGGCGACTGACCCAGTTTCCCGAAATTTAGCTACAAGTTCTAGAACACATTTACGATGCACGTTACTGTTCTCATGCCTGTCATTAAATATTTCTGCTGTTCTATTAGCGCACTGATTATTTCCGAAAAATATTTCGATAATTTCAACTCTTTCTGCTGTGGAATATACCATGGTTAATTTATGTAATAAAGCGTTACAAGTTATTTTAGCAACAAAGTTTGGTCAAACCAATCGCAAACTGTGTACGTGTAGGAATTTACTATTTAAAATAAGTACGAGATATTTCCTTATCTTTCTTCAAGAAATAGCTTTTTTGACACAAAAAAACGCTCCAATAGCTATTTTCAACAACAAAATGATAAACAAACCATGGGCGTAGTGAAGAAAAGCATTTACTTATTAAGTAAATTGTTTTAGTCAAAATTTATTCTGAAAGTAGTACAAACTAATCTGATGTACCTATTAAAGTCAACTTTAAGCTTTAAATCAATAAATCTTCAAAACTACTGAACTGAAGCTCATGTATTTTACATCATTATAAAGGGAATTGAAGGACCTTTAAAATAAGGTATCACTCGACCCCCCTTTCCATTTAAGATTTTAGGGTTGGTGTCACCCCCGCCCAGGGGGCTGCACGTGT